TTTTTCTCTTTCTCGTGTGTTCTTACTCTCATTTCTCTACTTTTACTTCATTAGCTTTGCGTTTGCGTGAAGTTAGGCTTGTTAGCATAGCTCGGGAGTGCTAACGCCGCACGGTCACTTTGTAAGAAAAAAAGGTCCGTGACACTAGGCTCCTATATCTCTCCTGGCACCAATAACTCGTATTGGTTATCAAATTCTAGGCAGTTTGCATTTGGGTTTTACCAACAAGGCAATGGTTTTGCAGTTGGAATCTGGTTTGAGAAAACAAAGGAGAAAACAGTTGTTTGGACCGCAAACCGGGATGACTCGCCTCTGCCGCGAGATGTTATATTGCTTTTGAGTGATGATGGAAGGCTCGTTGTGCAAGATAAACAAGGGAAACAGTTAACCATTTCTAATGCCTCTCAGCCTGCGGCCTCAGCTTCCATGCTCGATTCAGGCAACTTCGTTCTCTACGACTCAAACTCTACGATCATATGGCAGAGTTTTGGTTCTCCAACGGATACCCTTTTGCCGGGCAACCGCTGATGACTTCACACAAGCTTGTTTCGAGCGTGTCGAAGAGGAATCACTCCAGTGGAAGATTTCAGCTCATCATGCAAGATGATGGGAATCTGGTGCAGTACCCAGTATTAAGCTTTGGACTCTTACCTACTCATGCTTACTGGACTACACAAACTGATAAGCAAGGAGACAATATAACTCTGAATCTGGATCAAAATGGGCGGCTGTACCTTCTTAACGATACTGGCTTTACTATAAGGACTATTAGTAATGCTGGTCAAAGCCTCGGTAAGAATGTTACATATCGTATGACAATAGACGTAGATGGAATATTAACATTGTATTCCCATAATTTGGTTCAGAACAGCAGCTCGAGTGGGTGTCAACAACGAACAAGTGTGATCCTACTGGCTTGTGCGGTTTGAATTCATATTGCAATTTTGATGGTCAAAATGCTCATTGTGTGTGCCTTCCTGGGTTTGATTTCATTGATCAGTACGAAAAGAGTTTGGGATGTGTCAAGAATTCAAGCACAGATGGATGCGAAAAAAAAAATGGTGATACAATTTCTCTTGAGGAATTGAATGGGACTTCGTGGGATGAAAGCTCATATTCGGTTGTCTCATTGGACAACAAGACTGCTTGTGGAGAAGAATGCTTGAGAGACTGTAACTGCCAAATTGCTTTGTTTCAGAACCAGCAATGCAGCAAACAGCGGATTCCACTGAGATTTGGGAAACCAACTCAGGGAAACAGCTTGCTGACGACTTTTGTCAAAGTGAAAAACAGGAGTTCAGAGACAACAACAATCGTAAGCAAAAGAAAAAATGAACAAGTTCGAATGGGAATTCTTATCGGCAGCATTGTTGTTTCAAGTTTTGGGCTTATTGCTTTAGCAATCTCAGGTGCTCTCATATACAGATTTCGCATTTGGAGTTACAGAAAGATTGAAAATCGGGGGCACGACAAACTTCTTGAAGATGTTGCTCTTCGACCCTACACGTATGCTGAGCTAGAAAAGGCAACAAATGGCTTCACAGATCGAGTGGGAAAAGGAGCTTTCGGGACAGTTTTCAAGGGGCTACTCGTATCAAACAGTGGCAGGAAAATTGTAGCCATCAAGAGACTAGAGAAGGTGATTGCCGACGGTGAAAGAGAATTCAGAAACGAGATGAAAGTAATAGGCAAAACCCATCACAAAAACCTTGTTAAACTTCTTGGTTACTGGCATGAAGGTACAAACAGGCTACTGGTGTATGAGTATATGGAAAATGGTTCTTTAGCAGATTTTCTTTTTCGATCCGAGACAAAACCAACTTGGGAAGAAAGAGCTGGAATAGCTCTGAATATAGCTCGAGGCATACTCTATTTGCACGAGGAGTGCGAGACACAGATAATTCACTGCGACATCAAACCAGAAAACATACTAATGGATGAACAAAACTGTGCAAAGATAGCGGATTTCGGGCTGGCCAAGCTGCTGATGCCTGACCAAAGTAGAACATACACTGGTTTCAGAGGAACAAGAGGGTACGTCGCGCCAGAGTGGCACAGAAACATGCCTATAACAGTGAAAGCCGATGTGTACAGCTTTGGCATTGTGCTATTTGAGATTATATGCTGCAGGAGTGTGGATATGGATGTTCCCGAGGATAAAGTAGTTCTGGCCAATTGGGTTTATGACTGCTTTTTGGACGGTGAATTAGATAAGCTCGTTGAAGATGAAGATTTGGAGGAGAATGAATTGCAGAAGATGATTAAGTTAGGACTCTGGTGCATACAGGAAGAGCCGTTTGTTCGCCCTTCGATGAAGAAAGTTTGTCTGATGTTGGAAGGGACTATAGAGATTCCACCACCACCAAATCCTACTTCATCTGTTAGTATTGTTCAGATTGATTAAGCATTTATTTTCCCCGCAAATTTTGATAATTCATGTGTAATTGAATACTATCACTTACTACCAACGTTTAGCAGCCCAAACCAGTATCGTCCACATCTAAGAACTCTGTCGAGTCTTTTTCTTTTTTTTTTTCTTTTTGTTTCCTGTCTTTCCTTTTTCATTGTGTTGATTGATTTAAGAGCAAGTTGTATCATGATTCTGTTCTTGCAGATTTCGCCATTCAAAGTTTTATATTCCTGCACTTTTATAAACAAATAGAAATAGCAATTTCATGCTAGCTTAACTTAAACTAGAGTTCTCAATTTGGTCTCAAGCGGAGGCCAAAGCATGACCTGAAACATAAATTGAATAATAATTAACGTTTTCTTTGGTGTAATTGGTTATAAGAATCGATTAATTGATTTCACTGGCTTAACAGCATATGTAAATGGTTCTCTAGTCTTACTCATATAACTTCATGCTCTTAGTAATTTGCTTTCTCAGTGCTTTCTGACGACCTTTCTTTTGTTTTGTTTTTATGAACAGTTTTCTAACTCTCTCATGACATGGGAGATGACCATGCTATCTATCTAGTTGGAGGAAATATGCAGCGGAGGGTCATGAGTCATGACTATGCTAAAAATAAATAAATAAAACAAAACAAAACAAAAAAAAAGAAAGAAAGAAAGTGATATTTACCTTTTTGTACTCTGTGTTTTAAGTTACTCAAAAACTATACCTTTAATTTTTAATCTCATCAAATATATAACCTCAAATTAGATACCTTTCCATACAACATTGAGTTGATCTTAAAGATACTCAAAATACATTCAAGTAGAAAAATTTTAAAAAAAGAATAAAAATAAAAAACTAATAGAAAAACGTTAAACTTACAGTTTTGATCTAAAAAATGTGCAAAATACACTTGGAAAATTGGTTTTTTGTGTTTTTTTAAATGTTTTTCTGTTTTTTTTGAAAGTTTTATTTTCTCTTTTTATCAAGGAGAATTTGGTGATTTTAAAGGTTAAAATCAATTGTTGACATAGATAAGATATAGATTTGTGTATTAAATCTAATTTAAATGTATACATTTCTTGAGATAAAAAACAAAGATGGAAATGAGAATTTTTTTAGAATTGTGTTGAGGTTGTTAAAATTGCATTTTGTTATTTACCTTAGAGCATCTCTAAGAGAATTCTCTAAATTTTAACTAAGTTAGAAATATATTTTAGCTAATAATTTTTTAGTGTCTAAATACTCTAAATTTTAGTTAGACCAAGTGTTATACACACTAACAAACAATATTACACCGAATATTGAAAAAAGTTTGTCGTATTGGACTAGGTGCCGCATATGGACAGAGTTTTACGCTCATATATATAAATATATTTGAGGTGGAGTTTATATAGTACATAACAGAAATTCGTCAATACTTTTCGAAAAAAAAAAAAAAAAATCGACAATATGGTAATGTTGGACTTGTGATTTGTGAATTTATGAGCAAATTTTGGTTTTCAAAACCTTCAGGTTTCAGCCACTTAATATTTTATGGAGTCATTTGCCAGCCAATTTAGACTCTTCATCCATTTTCAGTAGAAGAACGATCAAAAGAAATGTTCAAATTAGAATTCTTTCTTAAACAGCAATAAAATATTCGGTCAGTTATTACTACTGTCTAATAAAGCTTTCTTTTCCTCAGGAATTATGATTGAAATTTTCTTAGCCTCTGCTTAATTTTTCTTTTTTAAACAAAATAAAGAGTTTGAACATCGACTGGCAATAGGAAGACTTTGCAACTCTTTTAGTATTCTTTATACAAAATATGACTCTGTAGAAAAAAAATACAAAACACGATCTTTGAATGATTATTCTTTTTAATATTATGTTTTTGGTCGATGAAAGTTGTAACTAAATAGCTTTCATCTACTTTTTCTTTTCTTTTTTTTTCAACTTTTTTTTAAATGTGATTGATGTAGAAATCTATATTATTAAACTAATTGTAAAGAGTTAATGGGAAAAAAATACATGATTAGAAGGGTTTCATCAAATCTATATAAGAAATTATTTTTTAACATATTGTTTTATCTTACTATAATTTTGATAAGATCTAACGGTTAAAAACAAATATTTACGGTATAAGCCTATAAGGCATTACGGTAGAAAGACCAAAGGGAAAATGAATCTTGACCAAAGGGAAAGATATTTTGGAACATCTAGTGAGTCAACTTGCATTCCTCCCCAATTGAGTCGTTCAAAGTTCAAACCAAACCCCAAAGTCTAAGTCGTTCCATTTGAACTTTGAGATGTTTATGGCAAGTCTTCGATGGGGTTAGTTAAAGACATAACTTAAATTGCTTTGGCATATGTTAAAGTATTGTTCTTTTCATTCTATAAGCAATTAGACATTACCACATAACCATCTAGAAAGCAGCCATTGCCCCTTTTTTTTCAATTTCTTTTGGTAGTGATCGATTTGTCTTGACAAAGTCGATCAAAATGAGGACTTAATGACTTTGGACTGAAAATAGTTTTAACAAAACATTGACTGAGGTGTTTATAATTGATACTTAAAGCAAACAAATTCAGCTTCAAATTAAAACACGGTCTAGAACTCATAATGGCAATTATTCTCTTGTTCTTTTTGCTATTAACCAAGTTCTCAAAAACAAATTCTCAACAACAGAATAACCAAATAAGCCTAGGCTCTTCTCTGTCTGCTGGTACCAATAACTCATTTTGGTTATCAGATTCTGGCAAGTTTGCTTTTGGGTTCTATCAAGCAAGCAATGGTTCTTTTTCTGTTGGTATTTGGTTTGAGAAAATAAAGGAGAAAACAGTCATATGGACATGGAACCGAGATGATAAGCCGCAACCACGTGAGACGACATTGCTTTTGAGTGGTGACGGAAGACTCGTTTTGCGTGACGCGCAAGGCATGGAAATACTCGTATATTCCAATACCTCTCAGCCTGCTACTTCAGCTTCCATGTTAGATTCAGGCAATTTTGTCCTCTACAGTTTAGATTCTAAGATTATATGGCAGAGCTTTGACTATCCAACAGATACCCTTTTGCCGGAACAACGCCTAGAGGCCGGAGAACAGCTCGTCTCAAGCGTGTCCACAACAAATCACTCTTCTGGAAGATTCCAGCTTAGAATGCAAAGAGATGGGAATCTGGTGCAGTACCCAACAGACAGTCCTATCTTGTCATTTTACTCTTATTGGGCATCGGATACGTATGACAAAGGCAACGGAGTAAGCCTGAATCTCGATATTAATGGCCAGGTATATCTGCTCAATTCCACTGGGTTCAATGTAAAAACAATTTTTGCTGGTGAGAACAATCTCAGTGACAATGTTGTATATCGTCTGACTATCGATGTAGATGGAATATTAAGATTGTACTCTCATAGTTTGGTTCAGAACAGCAGCTGGGTTGTCGAGTGGTATTCAGTCGAAAGTAAGTGCACTCCTCTTGGACTTTGCGGCTTGAATTCCTATTGCGTTCTTGGCGATGATGAAGAACCTAATTGTGAATGTCTTCCTGGTTTTGATCTCATCGATCAGCGCCAGGGAAGTTTAGGCTGCAAGAGAAATTTAAGCACATCTTGCACAAGTAAGAATCAGAACACACTTTCTGTTGCAGAGTTGGATGGATTTATCTGGGAAAACAATTCGTATTCGATGGTGTCAGCGATGAGCAAGAATGCTTGCAAAGAGGAGTGCTTGAGGGACTACAATTGCCAGGTTGCCTTGTTTAGGAACCAGCAGTGCAACAAACTAATGTCTCCCCTGAATTACGCAAAACTTCCAGAAAATGGCTTTGCGACGACCATAATAAAAGTGTGCAATGGAAGTTCTGGGACAAGTACAACAATACTAAGCAAGGGAAGAAATGGACAGGTTAAAAAAGCAATCCTAATAAGCAGCCTTTCAGTTTCGAGTTTTGGAGTAATTGTTTTAGCAATTTTTGTTACACTAACATACAGACTTCGTATTCGGGAATACAAAATGATTGCAAATCAAAGGCACGTCGAATTTCTTGAAGACGTTACTCTTCAACCATATACCTTTGCCGAGCTAGAAAAGGCAACGAATGGTTTCACAGATCAAGTGGGAAAAGGAGCTTTCGGAACTGTTTTCAAAGGTGTACTCATATCAAACAATTGTAGGAAAGTTGTAGCCATCAAGAGACTGGAGAAAGTGATCGCGGATGGAGAAAGAGAATTCAGGAACGAGATGAAAGTAATAGGCAAAACACATCACAGAAACCTTGTTAAACTTCTTGGCTACTGCCATGAAGAAACAAACAGGCTTTTGGTCTACAAGTACGTGGAAAACGGTTCTCTAGCAGATTTCCTCTTCGGGAATGAGACAAAGCCAACTTGGGAGGAAAGAGTTAGAATAGCTCTGAATATCGCTCGAGGCATACACTATTTGCACGAAGAGTGTGAAACACAGATCATTCACTGCGACATCAAGCCCGAAAACATACTAATGGACGAACAAAACCGTGCAAAAATCGCGGATTTTGGTCTGTCAAAGCTTCTAATACCTGACCAAACCAGAACTTACACTGGTTTCAGAGGAACAAGAGGGTATGTAGCACCCGAGTGGCACAGAAACATGCCAATAACAGTGAAAGCCGATGTGTACAGCTTCGGAATTGTGTTGTTGGAGATCATATGCTGCAGAAGGAGTGTTGATATGGATGTTCCCGAGGACAAAGTAGTTCTTGCCAACTGGGTTTATGACTGCTTCTTGGATGGTGAATTAGATAAGCTTGTTGAAGATGAAGATGTGGAGGAGAATGAACTGCAGAAGATGATTAAGTTAGGACTTTGGTGCATACAGGAAGAGCCGTCTGTCCGTCCTTCGATGAAGAAAGTTTGTTTGATGTTGGAAGGGACAATAGAGATTCCAACACCACCAAGTCCTACTTCTTCTGTTAGTAATGTTCAGATTGATTGAACATATTTTTTTTTCTTCACATGTTTTAATAAAGTGCACAGTATTTATAGTATCAAATTTTGTAAATGTTTAGTAGCCTAAACAAAGATTTGTTTCGTCCAATAACTGATTGTTGACATCCACTAAAGTTTTCTGATTGTTTACTCCATATTTTCGTCAATCGTTTTCTTTACTTTTTAACTCCTCTTGTTCTGTTGAACTCGGTGCCGATTAGCTTAAACTAGTTGAAACAGAGGAACTCTCGAGTCATGAGCCCTTTTAAGGGAACATGCAGCAAATAACATATTCCATACACATGGTTGAACTAAATAGCATATTTTTTAAATCATATGCATGTTTGAAATTTTGCCCAGACTTTCATTTTAAACTTCTTGGCTACTCAGCCGAGATGTCGCCGGCGAAGAAACCCGACCAGATCGCGAACAAATCCGGCCGAATCGCGAACAAATCTGACCAGGTCTTCGTCTCTGGCGCCGCAGGGTGGAAAGGAGGCTTTAGAGATCGGAACCAAATCTCGCCGATTTTGCGAACTAGATGCCAGCAGTTAATCTCGCGACTCCAGCTACGTAGACAACCTCGCAATCACCGTGAGTCGTCGTTCTTCACCGATCGCTTCTTAGTTTCCGAAACAAATTCGGGTTTGGAAGCATAAAAACTAAGATCGGGTCCGAATAAAAAATTTTATAAAACTTTCTATAGAATATATTAATTTATAATGAATAAATTAATTTAATTAATTTAGTATAAGAATTATATTTTACGATCGATTAGGTAGATAATTTAAAGTTTTTTATCACGAGCAATCTAAGTGCTCTAGTTCCTCACTCCAATTCCTCAAACTATCACGAGACTTCCTCGTCAATTCATGTATTTTTAATGAGATTATGTGTGTAGGTACACTTAAAAATATAATAAACATTGGCCAATACAACTTGTATTGTACAAGGGAAGGGAAGGAGAGCAAAAAATTTATGCTCTCTAATTTTTTACAGTCTCATATTTATAAAGTGCCTCACATACACCTATGACAAAATTTTCTTTATCACATAAGAAAAAAATTTTAGAATAATTAGAGATAGTTTCCGTTTGAATTTTAAAATATTTTCCTCTTTTCTTTTTCCTTCTAAAATTCGGCCATCTCAAGGAATCTCTCCATATGGTTGGCGCCATAAGAAGAAAAGGAAAGGAGAAAATTTTCCTTTATCCATTTTTCATTTTTAGCTCAAATTCAAATTCTAATCAAAATTAAACTTTCTTTAAATTTAAATTTTAATTGGACAACTTTTCAAACAAGTAAAAGGATAATTTAGAGAGCAAACAACTTAATCCTCTTAGGATTCAACCAGTGCCACACGCCCCTGCACCCAGTGACTGGGCGCGTGGCCTATGTGGTCACACCACATTGTGCTTTTCAAAAATTAAATTAAATAATAATATTATGCTATAATAATGTATTTTTGAGTTTTTAATAATGTTTAAAACTTAAAAATATCAAATTATGTTGTAATTTACTATTTTTAAAAAATATGATATAATTTACTAATTATGTTATTTCTTTCTTTATCTCCTTTTTTAACACTATGTGGCAGTGACGGCTCAAGCAAATGTGGGAACATTAAAAGGGGCCCATATATTAAAGTGTAGTAAATAACATATTTTTAAAACTAAATTAAGTAAATAGTAAATTTTACAATTATTTAAAATAAATAGTAATTTACTTGATAAATAAATCATTTACCGCGTAAATAGTTAATTTACATTTAGTAAAAATATTTTTTCACATAATTTATGATTGATAAAAAGAATTTTTTTATATAAATAAAGATTTTTTTACTACGTAAGTTATTTTTTACTAGTCGTAATGAATTATTTATCGTGTAAATGATTCATTTACCACGTAAAGTACTATTTACTTCAAATAAATTTAAAATATACTATTTACTTAATTTAGTTTCAAAAATCTGTCATGTATTACATTTTCTCATAAATTTACTTAAATTATATATTCTTGCCTTTTGCAATGAAAATGATTAATTAAATCTTTATACGTTTTAGTAGATATATTTTTTATAGCTTATGTTTAAATCAAAAACAAAATAATTACTAGTAAACCAGCAACAACAAAAAAAAACTACAAATAAAATAGCTATTCTGAAATTTAAACAATAATAATCAATAAATTGACAAAAAAAAAGAAGTAAGAAATAAAGATATAAATCAGGAAGCAGTTGATTTGGTTTTTTTTATTTTTTATTTTTTCACTTATTGTTATTGTTATGCGTACAAGAGAGCTGATCCATTCATATGCTTCTAGAGATGTTTGTAGACATTTGAAATTGAGATATCGATTTTTAAGAAAAATTAATCAAAATTCTTAATGCATACTAAAGGGAAAAAAAAATCTTAACTATTGAGAGAGGGGCATGTTTATAGTTTACTGATTCAAGTTTTTAATTTAAATTTAATTTAAATTTAATTTATTATAATAAAATTTAAATTTTAAACTCAAATTGATGAAGGTCTCGTTCATTTTGCCGATTTGAATTTAGAATTCGAGTTTTACTACAGTAAAAAGCTCTCAGAAACAGTCACATCAAACTTTTTTGCTACAGTAAAAAGTTCTCATACAAAATCACATCTCAACTCGAATTACAAACTCGAATCAGCGAAGTGAACGGGCGAAATGAATAGCATTTATGCGATAGTTCTTTCTATTACACTTCCCAAGAAAACTCAACTCGACTCAACTTAACTCAACTCCCTACGAACTCATTCTGAAACTCGAGATCAGAAACTCCGTACGCAGTAGTACGTTTCTTTTCGGAAATTTAACAAACGGAAATCCAAAAGCCAAAGCAGAGACCAAAAGGAAAAAAAAAAAAAATTAGGGTTAGGGTTTCGCTACCGAATCCTGATCGCGCCATTTCGATCTTTCTTTGTGAAATTAGGTTTATTCTCTTAATTAGTTTCGTTTTTGCTTCTTTTCGCTCCAATTCCTCGGTTTCTTTCTCTTAAAGATGGACCTTTTTTTTTTTCTGCAGAAGGTTAAACCATGGCGGACGGTTTTTGGAATCGGCAGCAGCCTCTGCTCCACCCCGGTGGAATCCTTAAGCGGCCTCGTACGGAGTACGGTAATCCCCGTTCTATTTTTCAAACCCTTTGATTCGCGTAATTACTTTTTCGATTTTGATTTCGAATCCATTTCCATTAATGCCAAATATTAATCTCGAATTGTTTCCTAACTTGATCATGTGAAAGCAGAAATTTGATTACATTCCGTTGGTTTGTTATAATAAGAAGATGCCAAACCTAATGCTAATCCAATACTCATTCAGAGTGTCTTAAAAGGGACATCTTGTAATTATTTTGAGACTGGAAAAAGCTTGTTAACACGGAGTAATGTACATGCTGTTTGTTTCGCGAGTTTGAACCGCATTTCAAACATTTTTACTGCAGTTTTTTCTCTCACAGAAATGTGAATTTCTGTTCAAATTTATAAACCTAACGGGCTTTTTCAATTGCTTTGTGGTGTTAGGGTGGTCGTAGCTCTTTCTTTCTTATGGACCATCAGACCATGGTTGATAAGTTTGTGTTCTATTGTGTTAGGAGCTAATAAAGTTTTAGTGATGTTTGGAATGTTTCCTTCCCTTATCCATTTTGTCATTTACATGTGGTTGAATACTGTTAGTTCTCTTGCTCAAGATGATTCTTTTTCTTATCATACATTAGAATCTTTACAATGGAAACATGACAATAACGTCAAGCACCATAAATATGTCGGTTTGTTGATAGAAATATGCTACTTCCTAAGTCTTTGCTCAAGTCTCTTTCCTCTTAGCTTGACTGCTTATATGGCCTTTCAAGTCATGGAGTAAAAGATTTTATTTATTTGTTTATTTCGAGAAAGTTTACAGTAGATTTACTTCGTTCTTTTTGGTTTTGCATTTCTTTTCCTTTCTTTTTCAATCGTTCTTATGTTTTCTGTATTGGAATCTTTATTTAACTGCTCATATTTTAATCATATTTTATTACAATATAATTACATCATGTGTAATCTTAGAAAATCCAACTTGGTCCTGATCAAGTTGTTCCCACTAAGCAGATGTGCACACACGGAGACTCAGAGATTCTTAGCTAATTACAGTGGAACACAGCCAGTTTAAACATCTTTTTGCCCCTTCTGTTCCTACTATTCCTAACTTCTTTTCTCTTGTACAAAAAGTTATCCAGACCATGACATGCATTGTGTTTCTGTCCAATGTTAGTATGCAATGAGCTTACTTCAAAAGTGTTTGAATGAACTGATTAAAATTTAGGCTCAACAAAATTGGATTATCAGTGCGCTAGGATATGTCTTTGTCAAATAAATTGGACTACGAGAAAGGTGCAAAAGCCTAGATTCTTAGCTTGTTGTTGTGATAATTTGTTTCAATGCTACCTGATGATATGAATTTGAAGGAAATATATTTCCTGGATCACTACTCCTGATGCTAAGATTTGTTTGTGTTTCTCTATAATCCACTTATCAAAGACATTAGGCTAGCATCGTATCTTTCTATTTTAACAAAGCTGTTTGACTGCAGTTCTGTGTTTATTCGAATTCATATGTGGACTTAGAAGCCACCATATCAGTCGTACACATAAATATGCCTAGGATTTTTTGAAATGCATGGTACTAAGCTGCTGACATGCTGTGTGAAAATTATGTTATGAAGCATAGAAACACACTGGTAGCATGCCTTTCCTGCCTCTCTGAGGTAATGTTACTGGGAATATATCACAACCCTGAAAATTCAAGGGGAGTGGTCTATTATAAATTTTCCCTCTTTTATATAATGATGCTGGATATACTAAGGTTGAGTTTGAGAGATTGAGTTGTGATTATTCATTTTTATACATATATACCGGTTATTATATTGGAGCAAATCTTACCAAAGATTTTTTCTCAAAAAGGAATATATTTTCAGAGTCATTATGTTAAAAGGGTAAACTAAATATTTCAAAGTAAGGTAATAGGAGAACTATTGACCAAGGTTATGCGTGATGATTCTTAAGATTTTGCTACTTCAAAAAGTATATGTACTCTTTTATAGACATAATTTATTTTTACTCAATAATTTCATTATTGTTGTGTCAATTTATAGTATCTTTGATGTTCTCATAAGGTCCAGTTATTGCCTTTACCATCTTTGCACCATGTTCAGCCACAATTATGTTGTACTCTTGAAAAAGTGTAATTATGTTAGCTTTCCCATTTTTATCCCATCTTTTATGATGAATTTGCTATTGCATGGTAAATGCTTGTGTTTTGCCCACATCATGTGGATTTAGCTGAATCACTATAATACCTCCCTATCTTGCTTTCCTGCCAATTAGGCAGGAGGAGATCTATTCCTGGTTTGTTCTACCCCATTTTATGGTTTCGATACAATTTTCCTTCATGTTTAGCTGCGATCATAACTAGTATTCAATATTTTTGCAGATCTCTCCACTTCTGGGCAGCCTTCAGGTCATGAGATGCATAATTATTTCCGACGTGGTGATGAGCACGATGGTCCTAGGGCAGTAAAGGACACAAAAACAATTGGATCAGCTTATGACCGTTATCTCCAGAGTTCGGTAACCACTTGAGCCTTTTAAACTGTGCTTATTTATGTTTGTGCTTGCAGCGTGCACCTACCTGTTTGCATACTAAATCAATTATTCTTGTTGCTTATAAAGCAAATTTCGTCGTTAAATCCTGGAGAAGCTAGTGCACTTGGTGGTGTCGGAATAGCAGGAAGGGCTTTTGTTGGTGGAATGCCTGGTCTTCCAACAACTGATCATGCTGTTATGGGTCGTCATGGAGCAATTGTTCCTGATTTAGCACGAAATGGTCGAAGTACTAGTTTTGAAGATCACCTCCCGATCGATCCACGGGCTAGGCCAGGACGTGAAATAGCTCCTTTACCTCCAGATGCTTCGAGCACTTTATATGTTGAAGGACTTCCTCCTGACTGCTCAAGAAGGGAAGTAGCTCGTATCCTTTTGGACATGGTTATGCTACTAAAGCTTTATATATCATTACTTTCAATCTTATCTTAATCTTAATCTAGTTTGATTTAGTTGCTCCGGTTCCTTAATTTTAATTTAGATATTTTCCGCCCTTTTGTCGGATATAAAGAAGCGAGACTTGTGAGCAAAGAGTCAAGACATGTAAGTATATGTTGGATCGAATAAAAAGCTTCTTCTGTGGATCCCATCAAGCTTAGGCTGACTTCGTCGCTCCATCAGTAGGTTGACTTATTTACAGATGATTGATACTGATACTCTGATTGATTCATAATGCAGCGTGGTGGGGATCCTATCATCCTTTGTTTTGTGGATTTTGCAAACCCAGCTTGTGCGGCAACTGCTATGAATGCCTTGCAAGGTATTTGTCTTTCTCCCTCTCTCTTTCTCACTCACACACACACACACAATTACAACAGGACAATATTGAGCTTTTTTTATTGGGTTGAAAACTAAATGAGGGTTAGCTTTATCTGCTGTGCACTTTTTTTGAGTACCAAATGTTATTAGTACTATCCCATGCCTTAAGCCACTGTCCACGTGTTGCCGTTTTAAATACTGGGAGGTGCTGATTTTGTCATTGGGTTACACACAGGTTATAGGGTAGATGAACACATTTCAGAATCAAGTTATTTGAGGCTGCAGTTTTCGCGGTTCCCAGGTCCAAGGTCTAACGCTGGGCCACGCAGGAAGAGATGAACAAACTTGAGGTAGTGAGAGATATTGTTGCGGATCACCATTTCTTGATACACATTTTTATGTATCCTCCCTTTTAGGAGTTTCATAGAACATCCTACCCAAAATATATTTCATCTGTCCAATCCTGGGCTCAACTCAGGGCAAACACTTGAAATGTTCATGTTGTATCTAGGGCTTGCGGTGAAGAAATTTAGTAGTTATAACAAATTATAGTTAATGCCTTTGTGGCCATTTCCATGTTAGATCATGTTCATGAAGAAGTTTTGTATTCCAGCTCCCATCCCCACCCACAATTAATGTGTTCTGCAATTTGACTTTATCTAATTTGCATTCCCAAGTTTTCGGGGAGAAAAGTACATGGTTTGTTTTGGTTTTTTGCATGCCTATTATTTATACCATTTTAAATAATTGAGTGTTATTTTGACTTTTTATTTTTGCTTTATTAATTGAATAGTAATTATTTATTTTTGAGTGGAGTGGGTTTTCTGGTGTTTTCCCTATGTTTATGTATTGAAAAGGCCCCCTTTAAAAAGTTTGCTTAAGGCCCCAAATAACCCTGAGCAGGTCCTGTATGCGTAAGAGTATTTTATTTGATTTGTACGTTGTAGATCAAGTTGTTAAAATTGTTAAATGGTTGAAAAAATTTATTCTGTAGGTATGGCAAAAATAATGTCATCCCAATGTAGACTTTCTGAAAATAGAAAAGGAGAAAAAAAAAATTGTGTTTTAGAAACCTTTCAGGTATTAGATGACTATGCAAGAGTGATTTCATTTGGTTATTGATGCACCTTTTTCTTTCGACAAAAATATTTAGGAGTACCATCGATCGGTGCAAAGAATCAAAGGTCTTGTGCATTTTTTCGATTAGAGTTTAGAATTCGAGTTTTGTTACAATAAAAACTTTTAAAAACAGTTAAATTTAATTTTTTTATTACAGTAAAAAACTCTCACATAACGTTATATATTAACTCGAATTAAAAATTTAAATCAGTGAACTAAACGGCCTTAAAATTAATAGAAGAAAGGCTGTACAGTATTATATTCAGCATCACCAATACATTTATTTATTTATTTATTACTTATTTTAATTTTTGTGGGTAGTCATAGTCCACAAGTGCGTGCTTAGAAGAAATATTTCCATTTTTCTTGTTTGGCGTTAAAACTGCCTTTTAGCTTCCTTAAAAGACTCACAAGTAAAATGAAACCTTATCTGTGGGGGCTAATACTACTCTATTAGTGGACATTAATTTTTAAGTGGACGTTTAGTTTATATATTCAGAATTATTCTCATTTTACGTGTGTTTTCTGTGAGAGAGCAACACTATTAGAGAATTATGAATCATGATTTAAAATTATGGACGAATAGAAGAACAAACATCCTCTAAGTTTCTCAACTGTTCATACGGGCTTTGGACTTTTTCCCTGTTAAATTGTTGGTTTTGTCAACTAGTATCAATTTGCCAAAGTGACCTTTTAGATGTGTATGGTTTTGAAAGGTCATGAGTGAGAAGAGTAGAGAGCTTTGGTAGGTGAGTTGGCTTTGGCTACGTAGAGTCGACGACAAAGGAGTTTTTTTTTTTTTTGGGATAAATAGTCGACCTCAAAGTCTAAGTCATTACTCTCTTCTTCTGCTCAGAGTTGCACCAATCTTTGGAGTGAAAAGACAAAGGAGAGTTATTATAGTGCCCCACTTCTTTAAATATCCTTGGGGAATTGACAGGGTTTGAAATTGGATAAATATGGAGAACTTTTCAATGTCAAAACTCTGTATTAGAAATATTCATGTGATTCAAAAGAGTTTAAACAATTCAACCAGGGAAAATTACACCGACACCAAAATCTTACACCTAAAAAATTACGGAGACACTCTTGATCAAAATAGTTTACACCAACATTTCCCGTGTTTCTAGTAAAGACACAGACATCCTCTATATTTTTATTTTTATTTTTTTGGGTAGAAAACGTCTCTCGACATCCTCTATATTAGTTAAAGCTAAAGGACAAAATGGATTTAATTTGAGTGTTAATTTTTTTCTAAAATAGTGAAAAACGTCTCTCGAAAACTCTCAGTTGTACGTATATAGGGCTGAAAATGATGATCTTAACCTTTATTTAGACAGTACAATGTCTCGTTCAATTCGTTAATTTAAATTTTTAATTTGAATTAAGATATGATTTTATGTGAGAATTTTTAATTATAGTAAAAAAAAATTAGATGTGACTTTTTGTGAGAACTTTTAACTGTAATAAAAATAGAATTAAAAATTCAAATCAGTAAAATAAACGAGATCTAAATGTGGTTAATATTCTTTCTACATTCACAACCATAACTTGCACTCAAATGATTAAAAAGAGAGAGAACATTTTTATGCTCTATTTCATAGTCTTCTGATAATTCCTCACATTATTTTATACTCAAATTGGTAATAAAAATAATGAATGTGAGTAATATTTTGAGCAAAAAAAAAAAAAAAGAGCTTCTTTTGTAGGCTCCAAAGAATAAATTACCGATAATTCACTATTTTCAACTGTTAAATATATCAATTTAAAAAAAATATGTAAAACGAATAACTTTTAATAAAGATCCATCGGCTCAAAACAGAAAACTATCATAATTTCATTTCTTCAGACCTATCAAAAAAGTTCCCAAAAAAAAAAGGAAATAATGGTGAATTTAACGGTGAAAGTGGCTATTCTACTAACACGAATCTTTTTTTTAATAAAAAAAAAAAATACTAACACGAACTTTCCGTACAACAATAACTACTCAGTAATCCCTTCCCTACATTTACCGAGGCGGTCAGCTCATGATTTTGCCCTTCTCGTTCTTCACCGTCACAAAATTAAGTTGTAGGGCTTGATCAAAATTCAGTTGGGTAGGTTGCTCTTTTAGCATTAACAGTCAAAATTTGCCAAACTTTTTTTCAAAATTTTCAATCTCCTTTATGACGTTATTTTGAATAATTCTAAGTTATTAAAGTTGTTCGTTTTGTAATATGCACTAGTGCGATGTGATAGATTAACAATATGGACACCGCATCTCTCCCCAAATACTACCATTGACTTTAAAACAAAACTTGATAAAATCATCCATAATTTTTGGTTAAATGAATTTAGATTATATATATATATATGTATATATGTATGTGTGTGTGTATAAAATTGCCAAAAACATAATGTTTAACAGGGGAAAGAACATAATTACTCAAGAATAAAACCATGATAATTATCTTCCAACACACAATTTCTTGTGCGTAATGCTTTTTAACTTTTCACCAAGTTAAACCAATAGTTAATGCAATATATTGCTTCCTGTGGGCGAAAAATATCTTGATCAATCATTACTTGTCCCACTGGCCATAGAATTCCCATTTACTTTTTACTCTTAAGGCAGCATCTTCAAAAGCATATGCCTAACATTTTGCATTACCGATAGTGCTAATTTCCATTTTTAATTAGTCATGAGTTCAATCAAGTCATTCGTCTAGAGAAATGAGAAATGTCTTTCGAAAAGAAGTTTCAAATAAAAATGGTTGCCACCTTACCAAACATTTGAGGTCTACATCTATCGATCCATTATCTTCGACAAGAGATTTACGATAGGCACTATTCTTTTCTCTTATAAGTAGGAATTTTTTGTTTAGTTGTCAGATTAATTTTTTACAACTTTCTTCGGGGGCCTTAAGATTAATTTTTTATTATTAAATCTGATCAAAATCATATAAAATTAAAAAAGTACGCAAACTGACAATTTTTCTCATACATATCTAATAAGTGAAAGTAAAAAATTACCGATAGTTTAATTTTTTTTGAAAAACTACCCAACTTTTTAATTGTTTGATATATAATTAGAAATATTTTCGTTTTGTTTCAAAGGAGATGATAAGAAATTTAAAATAAAATAAAAAAGAGAGAAAAAGCAGCATTACAACAGTTACAATCATGTAATTATGTTCTTTTGACTAATTAGTATATGTCCGATCTAAACCAATTTGTATATATATATATGGTGGGGCATCAATTTGGTGATATTTAATACAAAGAGACAGCAACAACCCTTGAAAAAAATGAAGTCCGTAACTTGACTTGATTCTACTCGTCATGAATCTATATTAATATATATATATATATATATATATATATAATCATAAGATTGTCTTGTTTCAAATTCCTGCTACGTTGTATGTGCAAATTGAGTCCCTTGTCTCTTACTCAAAAGCCACACATATCTTTAAACCATATGCATATATAGAGTGATAATATTTTCAAAATTAATGTCTACTAATATACATCTAATACATGTGAGTGGGACCAGATATACTAATGTACATCTAATACACCTGTCTAACAAACAAAAGAGTGAGCTATATACGTATTATATTCTTTCTTTTCTGAAAGGACCTATAAATATATTAGGGATATTTACATCTTTATACTTCATTTATTTAAAATCTATATTTTCAGTTTTAATTTAATATACAAATCTACCCCTTATATCGCTTAATAATTGATTTTGACCTCTAAAATGACCAAATTATCTTTAAAAAATGGAGAGAAAATAAAACTTAAACTTTCCAACATTACAAAAAATAAAATTAAAAACACAAAAACTCCTATTTTAATGGTATTTTGGATATTTTTAAGGTTAAAACTATAAGTTAAAAGTTTTCTTTTTAGTTTTCTTTTCTTTTTTCATTTTTATTTAAGGGTACTTTAGGTCTTTTATGCTTAAAATAGATGGTTGATTGTGAATAAAACCAAAACACAGAATATAAAAATGTAAATGTCCCTAAATATTATTTATTTATACCTAAGAAACGTGGCTTTAGTTGACCCATTGCGCTCAATTGGTCTATATATCGCTAAGGATATGCATTTATATGTAATTTTCAGATGACCAATAATAAGAATATCCGTTTGTTACGGGAAGATTTTATACTTCCCTTTCATTTTATAGTCGGTGTCTTCGAAATGGTATTAAAATTTCGGCACAAAAAGTTGAATAATTAAGAAACGACTAATTGCAAATATATATTGCGCATAGTTGACTTGAAACTAATAATTTAACTCTCAAAGGGTAAACAATTATGTCCCTATAGAAGAGCCGTGTGAATTTATCAATCGATCTATATGGTTATTAATTAATAATATTACTAATTCTATATAACTAGTTGTTAACTAATACTATATGTATCCTTTATTTAATTAAGTATGGGCGTTTTTTTAATTGTTATATTTTCATCCGTAGTTACTATTAAATATAAAAATTTGATAATGTGACGTGATAATTAAGAATTTAAGTCTATTAATTGTCATAATTTTTTTAATCAACTATATAATTTATTATAACCGTCAGATTA